CTATCTATCTATCTATCTAATCAAATCTGCACAAGGAACGCTAAAGATTCAAATAACATCATGTACAGAGTGAATCAAAGTCTGAGCTTACGACATAGTTGTGGAGCATCAGTTCCACGGACTCTTGTCGGCCGTATTTTATGATCCAGGATTTGAGTTTGGACTCGGCTAGAGTGAGAAAGGCCTGCATGTGGTGTTTGTTCTCCAAGAATTCCATTTGAGCCAAGTGGATGCTAGAAGATGTAGAGACGAAGTTCATCCTAAAAAAGACAAAGTTTACAAAAGGATCTCAAACCTACAGCTTGACCCTCACATTCTGTAATCAGTCAACAAACATGACTATTGTTTTAAATATGAAAAGAATAACTTTGTATTATGGGTTGTATTTTTCTTTACTACCTCTCAGCCATGTCTTGGAGCTGGTCCGGGGGAACAGGGACTCCATCAACACTTCTGTCTTTATGGATCCTCTGAAAGACCTGCTGGTGACTTTCCAGGCTCTTTAACACATCCTGAACAGTATAAATACGTACAGCACATGAAGACTGACTGAAAACATTCACTGATGAGAACATTTTAGAACAAATTAAACAAATCTGTGCTAGCAGCGCCCTCAATACTGACTATAATATGAACTGAACAAAGTTTGGATATAAACTAGTCTGCCACTGATCTATCCAGTGCCTTTGCCTCTCCTGTCTGTGGTTCCATGCTAACCTTGTGCTGCTCCAGAGCTCTGTGGACAGTGTTAGCTGTCACATCATGTGCCTGCTGGACGATTATCTCTTGCCGCAGGGCTCCTTCGGCTTCATGCAGCCACGCCCCAACCATGTCCAAAGGAGCCGGCAGAGACCTGTCCAGCTGCAGATGCCAGTCCAGGAGCTGAAATAGGGAACAAACAGAGAAATACTATGTATGAGCAAACTGTGATTGTCCAGCTCATTGCACAAACAAATTGCCTTACCATGCCAATTAACAACTGCAGATAAAATCCCCAAATTACAATGAAAATCAGTAATCACTCGCTGAAAATACACAGATTGTAGCAGCAGGTTTATATGGATTGTTTTTACTTTATCAGTTAATTTAATTAAGGTAAATTGAAAGTGGGAGACAAACTGCCAACTTGCTAGAAAAAAACAATAAATTATCAACAGTTTCCAAGTCAGCCAAGTCTCCGACAGACTGGAAATGGCACTCTACATCACACGTAATCATAACATCACTGGTTCAAGTCTGGCTGTAAACCTTTGAGGAGGTTTAAGGTGCCTCCTGCTACTCTCACCCTATTAGAGGCCCTTTCCCAGGCCTGTTTGACCAGAGCCTGATCCACAGTCAGTATCCCATCCTTCTGAGTAGACTGCAAAGCTGCCTCCACCTGCTTCCTCCTCATCTCCAACTGGACACGCAGACTCTTGAACGACTGAAAAGAAAGATTCAGATCAGATCAGATTTCACAGCTCTCTGTCGCACGTACGTATCTCCAAAAACATTTAAGTCACAGTATACAGACATCAGAGCAAGTGCTCTCTCAGGGGTTACACCCTCTTTCCCACTGGTATCTAATCAGACCTTTAGAGAATCTGTGGCTAATTGCCTCTGAATACTATCCTTCTTTCTGGCTTCAGATTCTTAGATTCTTCTGAATAATGTGCAAAGAAAATGGGGATATCCCACATGCTGCTGAATATGGAAAGTATCCCGAGGCTTGGTGGAATAAGCCAGATTGACTGAAAATATGACGGCTGCCGTCTGATCCCCACAGTGTAATGCCACTGATTAAGCTAATAATAGGAGCGTCTGTGCCCAGTGTGCCCAGTTTAAACTGCACACACACCCAGACACCCAGACACACACACTAACCTGGTACTGCTGAGCGAGATTGCCCTCGGTCTCCTGAGCCTGTATTGCATCTCTCTCCAGCTGGTCGAGCCACATCTTGAGCTCCCTCAGGCTCTTTCGCTGCTCTCTCTAGGAGGCCGGGATGGTGGAGGGGTGAACCACGGGTGGAAAGATGGACATGGAAATTGGGAAGTGCAAAGGGGAAATAAAAAAACAAACGAAAGAGAGGACGATAGAGTTCAAAGGAAAGAAGAAAACAGAAGGATGGGGAGAAAATTATTAACCAGGAAGATGTTTGAGGGATTGATGAAAGCAGGGAGGGAGGAAGAGGATGAAAGAAAGGGCATGTACTCTTAAACATGTGTTGTCCTAATCCTCTGTGTCTCCCTGTAGGACAAAACGTCAAAAACCCACAGCTGCCAAAAACACTCAGCTTAAACAGGGTATTTTGTCTAAGACCCCCTACTAACATTTCATTGGATTTTAAGTAACCATGACGACAATACTATGCTGCTCAAAAGCTTGTGAAATAGTCTATTCAGTTTGAGAGCTGTTCACTTTCAGGCTATTCAGTTTTATCACTTCACATTAGCTCCTGTGGGGATATCAAACTTTATTATTTATGACAGCCTGAGAAGTTAAAATAGATTAAGTTAATTCTAAAGGGAAGCAGACATTGTACTCACCAAAACTTCTACAAATCCTTTTATAACCAGTGTTTCAGTTGCTATTTATTTTACACAAAATTACCGCTTTTGTTGTTTTAATGAAAACACAATGTCCAATTGCCTTTCATTCAATGAAAGACAATATTCTGTACAAACATGAGGGTGTCAACAAATAACAAAGCAGGTGTGAAACACAACAACCACCAAAAGCCTAATCAGCGTTGTAAGACAACAAAACACAATGCAACACAGAAAGCAAGAGGTTAGCGCAGCTTTACAGCACATCACAGCTCCTGACACTGTTAACCTTAAAAACAGGCAACCTCTATTCACAAGCTTTCCATCAAATACACTGTATCAATGCACACTGCCAATGCCAGAGGCTTTCATTGTCATGCTAATGGGACCAGGAGCCATAGCGCTAGGTGGTAACGTTAATAAATGGTAATATCACGTCTTATTATACTGGACTTCCTTTTGTTATCATGGCTCAGAAGCCCCGCGGCAGGAATATCACATCAGGTAAGATAAAGAACCAATATTAGCATATGGGCTCTATTTTGATATGGAAAAACAATGTTTAATCTCACCCATAAACTGTACAGTAGGGAGTGATACTGTAATCCAATAGAGGAGCCAGAAAAATAAGCATTAATCAAATTTATATGGAAACCATGAATGTGCATGGGTGCTAATTGCATTGAGCTGCGCAAAATGATGGAAAACCTGCCCCTGGGACCTTTAAGTTTACTATATAACCTACCTCCAACATTTCCTCTATATCGCGAGGAGCAAGACCATGCTGTAGGACAGAGGCCAGCACAACAACCACAGGAAAGCAGTCACCACACAAAAACACCAGAGAGAGAGAGAAAGACAAGGAGAGATACAAAGAGAGAGATGTGCAACAAGGAAAGACACAAAATAGGCAACACACTGCCAGAGCTGATGTGAAATTACTGTTTGTTTTAACCTCCTCTGAGTAGCAGATAGGTGGTGGTTACTGCTTCAGAACATTTTAGAAGGCATTAAGCACATTTTAGGGAAATTAAATTTCCTGTAATTGCTCTGACTTTTACTGTTCTTGGAGATGAAGAAAGCCTCATCCACATTGCACTTACATAGGTTAAAACAAGCATCAGACAGTATTTAGAAAGCTCCAGCTGAACACACGTCACTTCAAGGCTAATTAAACAAAGACAAAATGCCATCTATATATATATGTCATGGCCGAGGTTTGACACATTAACTGTGACATCTGAAGAGAAGGACAAAACACATAGGATGCAGAAAGAGAGAAGACAATGAAAGGCATATTCAGAATAAGATTAATCTGACTGCTGTTTACCTCTTCTTCTTGCTGTCCGTCTGAGTCGCTCTGCTGTCGGTCAGGGTGATGCTTCAGGAACTGGGCTACGTATGTCATAATGGATTTCTCATCTGGCTTGTCTACATCGACATCTGAGGAGGGAAGCATACGAATGTAATCAAAAGTCATATCAAGGTGAGGCCAGTTGATAATTCCTAAACAGTTTCTTACATGGAGGAAAATAATTAATTCATGAGAACACGTTTGACTGACATCTATTCCAAAACTGACACCTTAGATGAAAACAACCTTCAGCACTTCAGATCAGGGTCCAAGTTTTGTTTGCCGGTTCCACGATGCTGAATCTCATGGCCTAATGGACCTTAATTATACTGATGTCAAGCTTGATTTGTCAGGGTTCATTGTGAAGGGCAGGCGTGAAGGGGCACAGATGGTGTTTGGTAGTGACACTGAGCTGCACATCTGATGCTGTGATAGATGCCCACAATTGTATTTCAATATTCCAAACAGAAAACAACAGCTCTATATGATGAAAATCTACTGTTACAATAATCTGAGTGACTAACACAAAGGTCACGCTGTAGCATTAATTTGATGCCATGATGTTTTAGATATGTAGTTATTCTCAACCAAGACTTGCTCGGTTCAGTTTTCATCAACTGAATGAAAAAGTCTCTCAAAAATGTAATTTACCCTCTGGGTCAAGAAGCTGCGGGATGCCCAGCTCCGTCTCAGCCAATAAGAAGGCTTCTTGCAGATTTTCTCGGTTAGGCCTCCTCCATACTCGCTCCATGTCAACTACATTGGGGCGAAGGGCATGGATAACTGCAAAGAATGCCTGCCCGTTGCGCCAACTGGGGCCAAAGTCCTTCACCTCAATGCCTTGACGTCTAGAAAGAACAGAACATTACAAGGTCACAGATGGAAGGTTTTTGGTTTTGTTTTGGGTGATAAGACAATTAACTAGTAGGGTAAGATACATACTTGGTGGCTGTGTGCTGGACCCATCTTAGCAGGGCCTTTCTGGCTCCGCCCTGCAGAGGTGGGAGAGGTTTTCTTTTGACAGGTGGGCTGGTGGTCTCAGTGCTGCTGGTGGAGCTGTCCAGTGAAGAAGTGCTGCTGGACAAGGCCTGAAGTGCTGGTAGGCTACTGGTCAGCTCCTCTATCTGAAAGGAAAAAATATTTATTATTAATAATGTCTAGTCCAATAAAGGGCACTAAACTGTAATTGCTAATACTGATATAATATTTTTTTTGTGTTTGTTTTTTGCAACTGATTTTCTTCAGTGATAAACAGCACTTTAACGTATAAAAAAAAAAAAATCACACAATGTATTATTAGACTTCAGCACAGCCAGCTGGTCAGTTGTTGGGAGATTTATTGCTATGCACACATAATGTACTTCTCAGTTTCTCCTCTCTACTGTCTGCAGCTCACTCAGAAAAATCCATATACATCTCTGTGAAATGAAATACATCAATGTGTCAGTGTAAGTACATTTTCCACTGTTGTACATTTCCTTTATTTAATATCCTTATGTTTGCTGGAATGGCGGGCATCTGCATGTGCTGATGTTCCTTAGAGACTGTAGTATTTGTGATTAAGTTCTTGTTGATCTGTGCGTGTCTGAAATGCCTGAGGTAGCAACTGCTTGTTTTCAGTAGGGATGTTTTGGAAGATTGATTTTCCCACCATACATTTCCTGATAGTTCAAATTGCTTAGCTTTTTGCCAGCTAGAATAAAATTAAAAATACAAAAATATATTTCAAGCTTCCCACTTTCCTAATAAGTACTGCCAGTTTACCAAACTAAACTAAACTTTCTTATTAGATTTAATATTTGTTTGATGTTGTGCCAATAATATGTAGGACCATGCTGATTGTACAGTATATTGGCAGCCATGTAGTCAATTTAAAGTCCTAGTTGTGCCCTTGTTTTTTCTCTTTGTTTCATTAAAAAAAATAATATCCTGAATTATGTTAATGCTAATCTGATTAATGGCACTTAATGTAAATTGATTTAAGGCAATCTTACCTGGAAATAGAGGATGATGGTCCACATCAACCCCAATACAATTGATGGCCGTCCATCAACAATGTCTGTGGAGTTGATGTTCACTAGCTTGATCTGTGTCAAAACACAATATCCATTATTTCAATATATCGTAACAGGAGCTAATAATTCCAGATTGCAATCAATTCCAGTATATCTGTTTACACTCTCATATTTCTCTCAATCTGGTAACTCTGTCCTGACACAAAATGAACAATAATCTGTATGAGACTAATCCTCAATACTACTCTATGCAGATAATCCTGACCATATCTATTCCATGTCCTGAACAAACTAGTACAGTAACATTATGAATACTGACCGGAGATCCTCTGTAGGCAGACTGGAGGGAAGATAAGAAAAGAAAAAGAAGACAGAGAGAGAGAGAGAGAGAACATTTAGAGGTACTCTAGATGTGTTTGATTGAAGGGGGACGCCTCATTGACTGTGAGATAGCAGATACTGCAGCATCTCTGAGGTGAGATAACCTGAGTGGTTGGCTGAGAGGAGAGATCTATCACCACTACACAGGCAACTGGGATTACACCCAGCAGAGATGGACAGAGAGTGAGTGATACAGGGGGGAGGGAGAGGCAAAGAGAAGAGCAAGAAAAGGGTGAGAGACAGAGGGCTGTATGTACTGATATGATGAAGTATTCTATATTATCACACAGAAGGTTATATTACTGAGGGGCTGCAGCACAACAGGTCATCATATGGTAATACACACCACTCCAAATAGGTGAACAAGCATGGAGGAAGAGATTGGGGGCAAGCGAGGGCAGTGTGGGACAGTGGCTGATAAGAATACATGCAATACACGGTTTTATATTAGAAAACACAGCAGGTTATTCTGGCAACTCAACGCGGCGGTGTGAAGCTGGGATGGAATAAAGTGGTAGTTGTGTGCAGGTTTAGTTGACATTATTCAGCTGACATTTTTTATATTTAATTGTTTATAAAGCTAAAATGCAAATAAATATAAAATAAGCAATCTGAAGACGTCCCATTGGGCTTAAATTGTGATGGTGAAGTTTTATGACATTTTATGGTTTAAACAATTAATCAACTGACAAAAAAATGTTACAATTGCAGACCTAGTTCACATTATAGCTACAGATTTGAAACTCCTGGTAAATACATATGAAATGGTAAACATCCAAATGCCACTGCACAACTCAACTAAATGTTCTACGATACAGATGCAAGAGAGGAACATGTATCAGATATAAAGCGATTGGGCCACTAAAGCAAAATGTAAATACGGTCTAGACATACATGAGGTTTACACACAGAGCATATTTACATTTAATTTTCTACACAGAGATTTACACACACACACACATCCACAACAGAGTGCCCACTGACGTCTCATCTCCAGACTGAAGATTACTGGTGTAGGATTTACAGTTTTAACCCTGTCACACATGAGGAAGACAAATCAATATCCCTACAGACACCAGCTCATACTTATTGCTTTATTTATGTATATCCGAGAACGAGCTGAGTGAAGCTTTGAGAATGTTTTACTAATCTCACGGAGGGACGGTTGATGAAGTTAAATGATTACATCCTAAAACCAAATAAAGCATTTTTGGATGTTATTCTGTCAATGAAGCTGGGAAGAGGAATTGTAAACCATGGTGGGTTGTTTTTTATTTTTTATCTTAATTGAAGACAAATAATGAAAGAAAGAAAATAAATTTCATTTTCATTGATTTTCTTTATCTTTTATGGGCTGCCAAAGAAAATCTAATAAACATAAGATGTGAACAAAGTCAGCAAAAACATATCAAATCCTGTGTATGAATATCTGTTTTTAATTTTTTTATTTATTTACTCAAAATCTTTGCAGGGATGTGAAAACATATGATGTGGGAAGGTGGAGTGTTTAAGAGGCGGGGACGAAGAGGAAACAGGTCACACAAGGTCAGGATTCAGTGTTTGTACCCACGAGGCAGCAGCTGAGCAGAGGGAGCAGTGGGAGGGGTAAAACAGAAGAGAGAAAAAAAAACATAAAACGAAGGCGCTGAACTCTCACCTTCCTACCCTCAAGGAACTTGAGAGCTGTACCGATGTTGGCGACCCAGTGGATCCTCTTTAGCTTCTTGCCCTGCTCACATGGCTGGAAGGAAAAATGGGAACAATGGAGATGGAAAGAAAGAAATAAAGAAACAGAGAGGGAGAGAAATAGTGTGGATAAAATAAGACACACCAAATGCTGCAGTATACAAAAAGTTTGGGAATTTCAGTGAGTTAGTATAGTATAAACACAAATACAGTTAAAAAGAATAAATGAGAAAATCAGGAATTAAGTCAGAAAGACAGAAAGGCCTAAGAAGAGCTGTGTTTGACTATAACCGGACAGATCAATAGGACATAGACGGCTTAGACCTAAGGCAATATTGGCAAAGTAAAATCCTCAAGATATGTGTGTATGTCTTTTGTCTTTGTTGTGTGTGTGTTTGTGAACTATGATTTGTCGTTGTTAATCCAGGCTTTTCTATTCCATTCAAACATCCCAATAAAAGCCGATCAATGAGCATTTCTATGTAATTGTGGCTTATTTCACATGCACTGCATTAAGTCGTTAGCTCTTTTGTGAAATTTGTAAAAACAAAACAAAAAAAAACATTCAAAGCAGCAGCTCTGACTGTTAATGTCATATTATATAAACAATTACAAATGAAAGAATCTCTCTGTTATCTGACCAGTCTGATCCTTTTCATATTAGCTCAAGTTAAAATTTAATCCAGAAAGATCAGAGGATGTGAAGTGTTTGAAGTCAGTGGCCAAATCACATGCTGTACAGATGACCATGAGACTCACCAGTTTCTGTCCAGAGAGGATTTCCAGCAGTGCCAGCAGCATCACACCATCCTTGATGTCCTCAAACAGGTCTGTCACCACCAGAGGTGGGACACGCTATATGTGAAAACAAGCACACCCAGTCTTTTCAAACAATATGTTATGTAAAAATCATTAGACATATGTATTAGATATTATATATTTTGTTTAGTTGAGTGCATTTTAATTATCCCAAATGTTTGCAACAATGTTCGAATCCAGAGAAATCGAAGTAAGTTATTGCCTTTAAGCGATAGTGAAAGCTGAAAAGTGACAGGAAAGGAAGGAGAGACAGGGGATGACACACTGCAAAGGGCCACAGCTTAGATACAAACCAATGGCCGCTGCAGCAAGGACTCTGCCTTGTTACATGGGGCGCCAGCACTACCAGTTGAGCTATGTGGGCGCCCCATGGTGCGTTTCCTACTTGCCTTTACTTCCTATAACTTCTGGGGAAACACAGGATACATCGGATACGTCAGAGAGAGCAGAAGGAATTCATGACTAAATATAATGTTAATAAAACTAAATAGATTACTTTGTCCGTGAACATGATGACATAAGTCACGTCAGATATATTTTCATCAGCAATGATGGTTGTTTAATAATTAGCAACAACTCCCATGATTCCACACTACTTCACAAAGTCATCAAACCACGTATTTTGTAATTGTTTTGATGTGACTGACCCCTAGTGGCCAATATTACTGCACGTTCAAAACAAGCTCACATAGAAAACCTGGAGGAATGGAACATGGAACATTGAAAGCTGATCATTTCTAAATAGGTGTCTGGTGCTTGGGCATAATTACTTACATAAACTCCCTGTTTACATAAACATTGCATGCCATGAACTCATACAAAGCTTTCTCAGTTTTTGTGGAATGCAAAAACCTGGGATTTAAACCTTAATAGCTTTTGCAATGTACATAAAACTATGAGGCAAGAAGTATTTTTTTCTGAACATTATCCTACTCTAAGTAATGCGGCGCATAAATAAACCGAAATACAATAAATTTATTACACAGTAAGATGTTAATTTCAACATGGATAAAGGAAATCCACATAAAAAATGTACTTGAAGCCCCAAAAGAGTTTGGCTATGCCAAGTATTACTGACAGCCAGAGTCAGCCATAAGCAGAGGCTCAGCGGGCTCTGAATGGGGTCTTCAAATCCTAAAATATGCTGATGATTTCAAACTGTATCCTTCTCATTGAGTTCCTCCCTGACCTGACACAGACTTGTAGACTTGGGGAAATCCACATATCTCTGTTTCTTGCCTGCGCCACATCAAGGATTTCTCTTAAAGCACAGTCACATGCTGGGGCTGAGGAGAGGTTTAGGGGGGGAGCATTCAGACGAGCAAGCCGTTCACAAGGAGATTAGCGGCAAAGGGAGTGAGGGAGAAAGAGGAGACCCGAGGAGAGGCGGAAGCGGAGATGTGTGCACGAGGGTGTTTGTGTTAGCACGTGCAAGTGGAGTGTATGTGTGTGGTGCGAGAGAGAAAAACCCCCAACATCATGGATACGCGAGAGGGATATAATTGAGTAGAAAGTGTGGCAGCGAGAAAAATGATAGAAGGCACAGAGAGAAGGGACATAAACCTCACGTCTTTCAAAATTAATTAGCAAATACAGAAGCTCTTCTCACTAATTCCTCTTCTAATGTCATTTCATGGCTTTGGATATTAGAATATACAGACAGCACTTGTGCCCCAATCATAAAGTGACAGAAGAAACACTTATAAGGACCCCTTCAAATGCATAATTATACCATGAGCTAATTGAAGTTAAATTTACCTATTTGTTCATTATAATCCTAAAGCTAATGAGGAAATTTCTGACTAATTACAAAATAAGAAAGTAATATCCATTTCCTCTGCTCAGCCGCAAGAGTTAAAAAAAATAAATCAAGGGCTTAATGAGCTAATTACATATGAGTGTCTGGGCCATAATTGATTGTGAGCAGAGGAGTTTTAGGATGTATGTCTGTCTGTGCTCTCATGTTATTCCCCTGGTACACTTGACTCAGTGGATTCCAAAAGATCAACAGCATGAAAGACAGTGGGAGGGGAAGACACAAAGAGAAGACTGAAGAGTTTCATTTTGAATTGCAATACATCCAGTTCTGAAGGAGCAAGTCATTTACAAGCGTCTGAAAGGGAATTATTTGTACGTAAAAGTAACAATGTGAATAACTTAAATGTCTAAAATCACAGTAAGTTATATTATACTTGGGCAAACCCCATAAACCTATAGCTCAGGATGAATGTCTCTTTAAAAAAAAAAAAATACTGTCTGCTAGCAAGAAAGCCATCACATGGAAATCGCTGCAGGCAAACTCTGCAACAAAGGAAGACTGGACTGCAATTGTCAATAAAATAAACTGTAAAGATTAACTGACCTTTTTCTTAAGACAATAATAAAATGTATAATATAAAGTACTGGAAAAAATGTATCCTATATACAGTATATGTGCCTTTAAGATATATCCCGTTATACATATGTCATTGAAACACCTTGTTCCTGTATTGTGCTGCTCACGTTAACCCACTTGTTTGCTTGAAAAGATCAATAAAAATAAGACTGCAAAAATAAAAGCATGTGACGATGCTAACATAGTGTTATTTAGCAGGTATTCATTTTACTTCTTATTTCAGTGTTTTAATTATTGTTTATTCGACATAATCTGAGCAGGGTGGGTAGAGTGACACTTTGTGAAGGAAGTCAGTCAATTAAGGGAAATTAGGATCCTAGTATTATTTTGCATTTTAACAATACAGCACAATAGATGTTTGCTTTTGACCTGTGGCCTACCATTAAGTTTTAGTTTTGGCCCTCCAAGGGAAAATGTTTGGGCACCCCTGGTTTAGAGCATGCTGACATTTGCTAATAGTCAAAAAACAAAAGCATTGGTAAAACAAAAATTTAGACCAGATATTAGATTAGATGTCAGAGAATCAACAGTTACTATAGTTTATTGTGATGGAACATGTCTGTACCATATTTAATTTCACAGTTGGACACAGTGGAGGAATTTATTTATTTATTTATGAATGAACCATGAATATCCGTACCAAATTTTTTACCAATCCAGCTAGTAGCTGTCAAGATATTTCAATGAATACGTGAATGTCTGTAGGGAGTTTCATGGCAATCCAAAATGTAAAAACTATGAAAAACATCCTTGGAGCTCAGTCAACTGAGGCACATACCATGCTTGAATTTATGTGCATGGAGTATGCCGTCCCCTCACTCCCCCTCTTCCCTCCACTAAAAAAAGAAGGGGGTGAGTGGGGATGTGGAGCTTCCCTTTACAGCTGCTGTAATCTCTAAGAACACTTGGTTCACTGATTACTGTTACTAAAGCTGTTTGCGTGGAAAATGACTGCGCGACGATGAGCCTCACGCCGGTCACTTCGTAATTAAGCTTTAACCTTCTCAGAAAGGATTTGTCAAAATGGAAACTTGGGGCCTGCTCACTGAATTCTTCCCATTTGTCACTCCACTGCTGTGCAGGGTGCGACTTTGAACCCTGATACTCGCTTCAGAACCAAAATGAGGCCATTCTAAGCTACTACCTGGATACTATATCTTTAATTGTGGAGTGTAAACAACAACACTTCCTATTTAAATGACAGAATTAAACTAAAGTACTGCCTTCTCTTACAGTTTGGTCTATAACTGGTGACTTAATCTGGAGAGCTACTCCAAGTAATAAGAGTCATTAATCTTCTGTATAAATTAACAGCTTCAATACATCCACTCATAGAAACTCTTTGTCAAAGCTCATAAGACTTCTTTTGTTGTACCTGTGGAGTGGAAAAAGTAAGGGGGGAGGGGAGCAATAGTGAAAGGAAGCCCTCATGCCATGTCTCAACTCACCTAACGATTAATCACATACCTTTAGGCGCTGAATTAAAGACCTGTGATAACTGGAGTGGCCTAATCATCTGCATAGCCAAGGGCGTGATCTATCCTTCTGAGAGCAGAGCTAAACCAACTGTTAAAGCTTCTTCCCTCTCTCTATCCTTCTGTCTCTCTCTCACACACATTTTTTTTGCCTAATGTGTCTTTTTAAGTGGTTCTTTGTAGAGTATTTATGCATGCGAGTCAACCCATATGATGCCATTTTATCACTGCTAGTCTACAGAATGACGTCTTCAAGAAACGCACCTCCTTTTTACAACAGATCACCGCGCCAGCTGAATTGACTTTTACCCCTTACTCATCACAAAGCTCTCTGAACATTTACCAAGCTGGCATGACGACCAAGAAATTTTTTAAGTCAAATATGAGCCAATCACTGTCACTATGGCAACATCAGGCATCAGGTGAAAGGGTAAGCAGTTTCGTGATGAGCGAGGAGGAGAGCAACTAATTTGATCAAGTAGGTAGAGAGAGATGCGTGGGGGGAAAAAACACTCTTATCTCTTTCGGATGGAACTGTGATAGTATCACTAATCTATTGATTAGCTGACTCGGTTAATTAAAGTGAATTTAAATGGAATAACATTTCCCGGATCTTTGAGAAGTCAGTTTATTGGTGTTTTTGTTGAACAAATTAAGATTCTATGTTATTGCACCTTAAGTTTAGTATGAGAAAAGAATAGTTATAGTTATTAGACAATAATATGCTTGTATCCTTTCTTGCTGAGAGTTAAATATGTAGCTGGAATCAGCAGGTGATTAGCTTAGCTTAGCATAAACACTAGAAACAGCTAGTCTAGCTCAGTCTGAAGGTAACAAAATCTGCCTACCAGTACTTCTAAAGCTCATGAATTAACATGACGTATCTGGTTTGTTTCATCCAAATAAAAACTTGTGGATTGGGGGACACAATAAGTGCATTTACAAAAATGTCCTTTATGCTTTTTAATCCAGACTTTTGGGATCCCTTTCTTATGTATCCCTCTGAATCCTCATTGTATTCCCCTAATCACTCAAACTCCAGCATTTTCAAAGACCATGAAATAGCAAAAGGGCTGTTGATCTACTCTATTGCATCAAAATGACTTGATAAATAAACTATGTGCTTACCATAAGTGTTCAAGGCATTTAAGTTTTGGGCTGTGTGTAATTTTCTGCTGGCATGGTCCTGAGATGTGATATTTAATATTACGTCAAGGTTTATTCCCTCAAGAGTGCTTTCCAAATGAATTTTCTGCTCCACGTCACCGCAGTTCAAGGCCTCCACAGCTGTCGTAATCAAATAGGAAACCTTGAGAGGAGCGTTGCAGATTGAAATAACATATAATTGTGTTGCGCTGTGCCATGTTTGCCTTGTCCACACATTCCTGACACACTGCTCAAGAAGTAACGGGTTAAATTGAGGAGCCTAATGCAGTATAATGCAATAATTACATGCACACGGTGGCCCTTCAGCATTGCAGCCGCATCAAGTTTAATTGTTTCGTAAAAGTTACAGATATGTGGTGTCCAAGCTCATTGAAGAACCAAAAGAAGGGCAGTCT